TTCAAAGAATGCGTTTCAGAGACAGGTGAGACTTCGAAGGGAGAAAAAGAGAGAGGGAGGAAGGGAAAAGATGATGGACGCGCAGGTCAACTTCGAGGGGAACGTTGCTTCGAATAATTCTGGGACGGTATAGTCTTGCTTTGTATTTTCAAAGCGTTATCCAGGGGCGTGCTATCGTGAGGGGCGAAAAACAAGACTCTACCGAGTCTGTCTCTCTCGTTTTTGCGAAAAGAAACCAGAAACATATATATACAATTTTCTAAAAATAACATTATTATTCGTACGCTTATTTTAAAATAAATTTCTCTATCTAACAAAAATTCCATGCAGGAAAGATATCAAAACCGATTATTTCGTTCTTGGATTCTAATCTTCAGACAAAAGATCAAAATAAAAATTTGTATTTGCAAATATTTACTCTCTGTTATCACTGTCATAGTTTCGATAACATTGTTTCAAATTTCTTTTTTTTCCTTAACAAATGCGTTTTTTTTTAACATTGGTAAAATTTGAAATTTAAAAAATGGATTTCCAAAATAGACGTATCCAATGAAAATTTCATAAACATAGTAGATTATAGTAAAAAATATAAAAAAGAATGAAGTACAAAAGGATAGAAACTGATAGACAAATAAAATAATATAAAATTATTAAGGAGAAGATACTCTGCTAGTTATATTACGTAATTTTAAAGAAAGTCACAGGAAAGTAACTTTCGAATTTCAGAAGAATTCCCGATACAGGTTAACTTATTGTTAGCATACTAATGCACAAACTATGAATTTCCGATAAAAGTCAGCAAACTAATCGAGAGGTCCAAATTCCTATCTTTATCTCTGATAAAGTTCGACGCCTATAATTAATGAGAAATAAGAATACGTCAATTTAACAGAGATCTATGTCGTGATTTCGAGTATCCTTCTCTTACTTTGCGCGCGAAAGCCGTATATATAACGTACAACCATACCTTGTATATCCCTTTCGCGAATGGAACGGCGATATAATACAATGTGTTCGCAAAAGACACGGCTGTTCGCAACGGGTGTACAATCGACGGACGCGCGCCCATAGACGATCTATCGTCCGTTAAATTATTACGCTCACAGGGAACTTGGAACGCGCGCAAAGTGGCTCTTATAATTTGCTCCATAATGTAAGAGCGACGAGGACGCGCACCGTGCGCATCTATAATTTCCATCATGGGCGGCGGTCGCGTTACGAGGGACGTTATTTTTCATGAAATTTTTAGAGCCTCGATACTCTACGAAGGTTCCAAACGGCACGGACGATCCCGATTCGAGTTTTGCGTCAACCCTTGTTTCGAGGAAATAAAACCGAACAATCTTGTATGATTAATCGTACGAATGGTTAGAGAGCGTAAATGTGTACCATATAAGGGTATACTCCCTTAAAGAGTGAGAGACGCCCTCTTTTGCTCAGACTCTCCTTCGGTTTTTTTCATCTCGAATCACGTTGCGGATCCGATGCCGTGCTACGATACGCAAAGGCGTAGACGGGATTCTTGAACTTTTACGCAAAGCTCATCCGATGCTCCTGTAACCTTCTATAACGCTTTCTAATCTTGCAAAACGAACGCGTGATGAAATGGATCTTTAAGGTCAAAAGACAATTATATTTTTATCGTTCTCTCCTTTCGATACTAATTTTCTCGATAATGTATCGATTAAATACTCCCTTTAATATTTTCCCTTCGACGACGGAAGGCAATCGAATCGGTGTATCAATTACAGGGAGACGGCGGTTACACGATGTAAATCTTGGCGAGCGCGACGAGTCTTCGGAAAAGCTACTAGATACTACTACTACTGCGCACCGGTCTTTCTGGTCCGTCTATTGAAAAATTCTATGCATTTATAAGTGTGCGTTGCACGGAACGACCGCTGGGGCTTCAGCTGTTGTGTTACTTATATATTTTTCAGTTTGTTCTTTCCCAAGTGCGTTTTTAATTCGCGATTTAACGACCGACTATAAATCCGGCACATCCGACGACAAACAGACGATAGTCATAGAAAGAGAAAGAGAGAGAGAAAAAGAGAGACGAGATCATCTCCTTCTAAATCGAATTTTTAATTCTTGAGTATATATATATATATATATATATATATATATCGGTGAAAATTTATCTCTTTCCATCGCATATTTGATTTTCTATCGAAGATACACGTTGCAATCTGCAGATACAATATCTTTGTTGATAAAATTTAATAGCTGCAAATCTTGTTTGCAAGATTGCAGTTAAGAATAGAGAGGTATAATTTTTAATATATAATAGATATATTTTTTAAATAGTATCGATACTCCCCTTCAATCATGTAAATAACGAGCTAGAATATTGATTTTCATTCGCTGCTTATTACATCCCCGAATATAAAGTTTAATTATTATAAATATTGTTATAACGATTAAACATAAAATATGATAATTATTATAAATATTTTTATAATAATTAAACATTTTAAAGATTTATCACGAAAATAATTCCACTTTACATTCATCCGAAAAAGTAGATAGGTATTACCTATTCTTACAATTAGCTACTTATTCTAATCATAAGCGTATGATATAATTATTTAAAAAAAGGATCAATAACTTCTCATTCGTGTAAATATCATCAGCGAGTTATTAAATATCAAGAATACTGCTATTATTTTCAAATCTCTGCTTATCCAAGAATACAATTCAATTATTATAAATAAGAAAATTTACAAATTAATTTAATTAATTTCTCTCTTGCTTTCAAAAGCTTTCAAGAGCAATTCAAGTGATCTATAAGAAAGGAAGGAATTGTATTTCAACATAAAGATCTCTCTATCAATATTATAATGCCAAAATATCGATGGGAAGCTGTCGATAGATACCAGAGTATCAGTAAACATCCCTAGCAGAGAGGACACCCCGTATGCAGAAACGCAATTCCCGGCCAACACACACACACACACTCACACACACACATATATAACCATATTACGCATATACACATACACATGAAGAGACAAACAGACAAATACGAGACATACACACGCACACAAACACGACGCAGAATCGATCGAAGGGCGTCACAAGCGGATTTAAAGGGTTAGCGGCTTAAATGCTCGAGCGGGGATGTACCGTTAATTGCTAAGACAGACCGTACAGCGTCTGTCTGTCTTCGTCGTTAAAGATGTTTGGCGATACGTACTCGCGATCGTTCATTCTCGGATACGTTCGATCTTTCCAGCTAGTCTATTTTACGTCGATCGTCGTCATCGTCGTTGATAATGACGTAAATCCACGAGACGCGTATGTATGTCAACCGACACGAAACAAAGATAGAAAATGCGTATCCGATATGTGCGAGCTCGAATACGTATAAAATTATATATGCGTGTGTGTTGTATGCCGAGGGAACAGTATCTGCGTCCGTTTCGACTCCTCAATTCTTTACAATCATCTGTTTTTTTTTTTATTATTGTTTGTAAACACATTCACATGATATTCAGATATTATTATATTATAGAGAAAATATGATTCAGTATACATATATAATTATATAGTTATCGCAAGTGTCTTTAATTCGTGAAATTAAATCTATTTCAATGACCTACGTCTATTTATGTTTTGAAGTTTCTACGCATCTCAATCATGTATTGAGATACAATAAATAAGCCCAAAATATATATATATCTACAGACTACTATGTATATATTTCAAAATTTATATCTTTTTATAATTTATATCTTTAAAAAAAAAATTATTTATCGTACCTTGTGATTATGTGTTTCTTAAAATTGCTATTCTGTCTTATATTTGACACTTTTGCTTCTCTCTCTCTCTCTCTGCTAATATTATTAATTCTGATTGTTATTATACCAATATATCAATAGGATATTTACACTCATTTATTCTACATCAACAGTTGTCTGGAAAATTTATTAAAATACTGGTAATTTACTTAAAACAAACATTGAGATTATTCATGCAATAAAATATGTAAAATCCTTTTCTCCTTCCTTTTACTTTTATACACATACACATCTACTTTTCAGGGGTTCATATCTCTCTTTATTTCCAAGAATGCTCCTTTCGGCTTTCTCGAATTGCCAATCGGGGACATCGACAAGATACATGAACGGGAGTATCGCGAGTACGGATATATACAACGCGCGTGTTTAACGGATATTTGTATACAAACAAATGTACGGTACACGCGAGCGCGCGTGACTCGTATTCACATGTACATTTCGATCGACAGACAAAAGGATCAGATGTGCGTTCGTGGAATAAGTGGGGGAGGGATGGATGGATGGATGGATGGAAGATAGGTAGAAAAGGGGAAGCGCAGACGAACGGAAACGTAAAAAAAACATGTACATCGCAGGTGCAGCGTGCGCGAGGAGCGAGTAAAAAGCGACGTCGCTTTCTGCGGGTGCAACGAGTTTTTTTCTCCCCCGAGCTGCGCGCATTTTTGTCGTGGGACCTATATACAATGTATCCCGCATGTGTTGATTCCCGTGTGTCAGGGGGATATATACGGGTTACATCGGCTTATCGCAAAATTAACCGTCGCGTCACTCCCGAGACAAAAGAAGGTAGACGAGTATTTCAGGAGCGACATTTCGTCGAAAAGACAAGCGTAATACGCGCACAAACACGTACATCTAAAGAGACTCGACGAAAGAACGGTATCTTGGAATTTATTCCACGACCGTTGGAAAAACGCGGAGCAACGTCTACGACGGGTCGAGCGAGTCGGTGAACATCTTATCCAGGGGCGGTAGCGATAAGAGAGGGAAGAGAATCGGGAGAGAAAAGCGGAGGGATAAAGAGAGTGGGAGGGAAAAAGCCACATAGAAAGACAGGCAGAGAGAGGCAGAGCGAGCAGCAGCAGCAGCAGCAGTAGCGGAGGAAGGAGAAGAGGAGAAAAAGCGAGGGGGGAAAAAAGGGGAGATACAGACAGATACAGACACGCGTCCACATTTCGGTGGGAAAAAAATTCCTACCTTTGGAGCGCCGAGTGTAATGAGTGTACTTTTTCTTTCTTTTCTCTCTGTCTCTCTCCCTCCTGTCAGAGCGACGTCATAAGTCGTAGGCGTAAAGATGCTGACGCTCGTCGAGCCGCGCCATTTAACAACGTTACGCTCGTGGAGGAAAAGGCGAACCGTTCACGGCGATGGCCGCGGCAACGGCACGGCACGTCGGCACGGCAGCTCACCACTTCGAACACCGACACCGAGGTCGCTCCGTGGCCCCACGTTCGCGGCCCCGCCCATTAAATCGGGGCCCCGTTGTACGTGTCGAGACGCGCGCCGAACGTAGCCGGAGAGGAGTCCACCCGCGTCAGAAGCACTAACCGCATGACACACGCTGCTCTCGCGCGCGCGCCTCCGATTAATGCGTGCGGCCCGTAACGAGGCACGGCGTCGACGTCGACCGTCGACCACGACTCGCCGTCCGTCGCGCGCGGCCACTTTATCTCCTCCCCCTCCTCCCTATGTTTCCAGTGCCGGCTTTAGTACGTGATCCGGGACTCGGATGTATTTGTACATAGACTATAAGAAAACGGAAAAGATTCATAAAGATGAAGATTCATAAATTCGATTAAGCGCGCGCGCGCCGATAATATATCTTTTATCTCGATGAATATCTAATATTTTGGTATATAATATAATTTACAATTTATTGGAATTACCTTGCAATTGGATCAGGAAGGATGATGAAGGAGATACGTAGCTCTCGAAATATTTCGATCGGGGGGTACAGACCGTAAAGAGACGGTGCTGCGCGTAACGATATTGCGTCGCGGTCGCGACTCCATCAACGTCTTTCTGTTGACGTCAGAATCATTTCGAACGTGACCGCCGCGAGCCAATAACAGCGCCACTTGCCGGCGAAGAAATTGAAACAAAGGGATGATTGATGTTATCGACAATTGATATTATCGTCAGTGATATTATCGATAGTAATAATCGACGAAAAAAATATATATATATACATAATATTATATTATTATTATACAGATATCTTAGATTTTATAATGCTTTTACATTTAAATAACTTTATTAGCAGTCTTCAATGACAAAAAAGAGTATTTCTGAAATATGTTTGTATAGGAAACCCGCGCGTTCGCGAGATATATATAAATATTTGTATCGATTCAATATCAAATATCAATATTCTCTCATGATTTTTCGCATAATATATTGGTTATATATCATTATTATAGTATACTTACATATAACATGCACATATAATATGCCTCTTTATACACGTAGATATATTTCAAGAATAGCAATTTTTAACGCCAGAACAAATTTGCTATAATATTCCAGAAAGGAATACAATTATATCGCAGGTAGTATACAAAGCGATCTAATTACTGATTAACTGCGTACCTCGTGATTCAAAGAGACGAGTCACTTGTTGTCGGTAGAACCCGGATTCAATCCCGATCTTTATTCATGATACTTGGACACTCAAGAAGCTGACGGCGCGTGAATCACATAAGGAAAAATTCAAATTACGTTTCGAACTATTCAGCGCTCAAGAAACACAAATGGCTGCGTTCCGATATTTACTGCCAGTACTGACAATCTATATAGTTTACATCATGTGCATGTATAGATTTTCAGTACTGGCAGTGAACATCGGAACGCAGCTAATGTCACACGATTGACTATCAAATAGAAAATTATAAGATTTAATAATTATATAATTATTAAATTATTTATAAAAAGATTATTTCATCTAATATGTGAATATTATATATTTTTCGTTATATTATATTATATTTTTATTATTTTTCTAATTATTTTTCGTTATATTTTTTTCTTCTGTATAATTTTTGTTGTGGTTGAAAAGAAACACAAAAGTTACTGTCGAAACGTCCCATATATATGTTTCACACATAAAATTTTATTTGACAATTATGTATAAAAAAAAGTCTTTTATAAATAATATTATTTAATAACCTTCCGCATCGGGGCCTTTCATTATTCGTATTAGATATTTTTCAAATAGAAAAATTTTCGGGACTTGAAAAATTCTCTATTCGATAGCCAATTGCGTGAGAGACATGTATATACCTGTGTTCTCTTGCCGGAAAACTACCAATGTTGGCAGCCCTGCCGCGGAGCGTCTCGCGTCGTCCCGTCGTCTGCATCGGAGGTGCGAGTTGACAGTTGACAGCTCGTTCTCTCTGCCCGTGTCGTCGATTCGTCGCTCGCGGCGAAACTCTCGTCCTGACAGGCGAAGACGCGCGATGCCGCGATGCCTCGCGCGTCGCTCTGAGTGCCGAGCGCGGTCGAAACGGGCGACGGTGCCCTATCGAACGTCCCCGTCGACGGCCACGGCCGCCCTTCGGTTCTCCCTCGTCCCGTGATCGTGCACGACGTTCCTCGCGCCCGATCGCGTCTCTCGGTGTCCGTCACGATGTAAGACCTCGCCGACGATCGGATCGATCATCGTCCTCGCCGTCGTCGCTGTGTCTTCGCGACTGTGTCATCGACCGTCGTCTCGACAGCGGTGGTCGCCTGCGGTTTTCCCAGAGTAATCCAATGGTATACATTATGCCTGTTTAAAAACACATTTGAACATTAATGCGTATATAGTCTTTGGAACTTGTTTTTGGTTGGTTATTATAAAGATGTTATTAATTAATTATTTGTGCATTGTTTTGTTGTACATTACTGGTAAATAGTTATACTAGATATTTATATCTGAGTTGTTTTGCTTCAAGCTCTTGTTTTCTTCACTAAGAATTGATAAAGTATATTGAAAACTTTCTTTTTTATAATCCTGCATTAATAAATTCATATATGCTACAGTGAACATGAATTCTATAACAATAAATTAAGTTTTGCAGCTATTTGATAATCCATGAACTTTAACTCTTGTAGGTCACATATTTTTTTTACTCTGTTCCTGGTTACACATTGGTCACAATGTCTTATTGTGGTTTTAACTGTCTCAAAGTGTTAAAAATCTCAAAAAATTTACAAAAATTTATATATATATTCCTTGTAGAAAATGACCATATATAACAGAAGTTAAAAAATAAATTTTAAACATTTCTTTTTATTGGTTGTGATCTTTAAAATATTTTATTGTTAAGATATTGATAGGATCAAAATGACCCATATGTGACCTTTAAGGATTAAAGAGAGGTCTTAATATATTTTACCAATCTATTATATATATTATCAAACAAGTGTACAAAAAAGTAGTATACAAAAAAAAATTAATTTATTTTAATGCTAATAAAAAGATAGAAAATTAATAATAAGATGCTTAGTTAATATTATTTAACATCAACGATTATATCCATGTTCTTTGAAAAATCAATATCATACTTTGCAGAAAAACAAAGAGATATGAAGAGATTTAATTGAATCGGGTGAAAGCTTTTGTGTTCAGAAAGCAAGGATCTCTTTAGTCAAGAAAAAGAAAAGAAAACAGCAAAGAACAACAGAGAATTCGGCATGATCCGTGGCAGGAATAGAATCAATTTGGAAACATTAGATGGGGCGGAGGAGGCATGGAAACCACAGCTGGCCGACCGTCTCATCAGAGACTCTTCAAGGACACCTTGCCATCACCAGGAATACCCGGATTAGATGTCATAAGAGCCTTGCACCAAGTACTATTCACTCCCTTTTTTATTTATATATTTTTTATATAGAATAGATAAAAGCAAAAAATACCAATTAGTATCATGATATTGTTTCTTTTTGCGAACGATTCATCTGTGATTCTTCACGACTTATCTGCTGTAGAAAATACACCGAAATATTTGTAGTTAATATATGAAATATTTTATTTGCTACATATCTCGACGAGTTAAAAAATTATACGAATTATCCTGGTATAATACAGACGATCGTGTCATTGCGTACGGCTCTGGACTCGTCGCGCGAAGAGCTTCGCCGATTGCAAGAGAGCGTCGGGGATTTCTCCAGCGAGAGTTACATCGACGCAGTAGGCCGTCTGGCTCTTGAGAATCACGTCCTCAGACGAAGAATCTTGAGCAGGAGCTGCGAATTCTCGTGTGATGCGGCGACAAGCTCGCCGCTTCAGTCGAAACGCGTCCGACTCGTAGAAACTTCTCGTATGGAGTAAGCAGAATTTTAATTTAATTTAACTGCTAGCTTCGGAAAGATGAATCCTTTCCGGACAAGGATTCGTTTGACGAATTAACGCCGAGAAATTTTCTATGTACCAGTCGATCAACAGATTCTGCGAAAACTACCATGGATGTATCTAAAGAAAAGATCGATGCTAATGCTCGAAATACATTCAATCAGCCTGCTTCTGGACACAGCAGCAGTAGTAGCAGCGGCAACGATAGTCCCGATCTGCCTTCTCGTGCTAGCCGATCCGGTAGACTTCAAACTTTATCGAAATCCTCTAGAACCGCGATTACCAAAGGCACTACTAGCTCCACAATTACACAGGCGGCGTCTACGATGCTAAACATTGTTCAAAGTGAGAATGATAAACCCTCAATTTTGACAAAGACCGCAACTAGCAACGAGGAAGAGCCTCAAGAAGTTTCAGGTAGAGTTAGCTGGTTCCATAATAAATTAATATAATAAATAATTTTTGACTAAAAATTCTGTAAAAACAATCACGAGAATTAAAAGCCAAAAAATATGGTGTGTTTCTTTAAAAAAACGAAGAAGAAACAACGTGACTGTTCTTATTGACACTTTTAGGAGTCGCATTATTTCGCTGAAATAATGAAATTTCGTTCAAACACATTTTTTAAAGAGGAATTCATTGTTCTAGGCGATGCGGTCAATATGGACCACTTGGACGTTCCTGAAAAGGATATCGGCGAGGACTTAAGTTTGAAATCCATTTCCGACGGTGACAATTCCGTGTTCAGTGATCACACGGATCAACTACAGACACCTCGTCAGAGTCAACCGGGTGATTCGTCGAGACCGAACGAACATTCGGAGAACGAATCGGAGGAGCTAGACGACATCGAGCTGATATTTACGACAGACGAAACCTGTCGTGATCTCGGCCTGCAAGAGGATCTGGTATCTATCACGGAGACCGAGTCGTGGCAGCATGCGGGCGCCGGTAGCGGCCAGCCTGTTCTACTCAAGTATACAAAGTCGGCGGAGAATGAGTCGTTGGTCTGCAACGGCGACAAGACCAGTTCTGTGGAGGAGGCGGTCTCCTCGCAAAGTTCCAGTATCGATCGCGAGGAAAGCGTTGACAGATTCGACGAGAGTTCCAGCACCAGGCTCAACAAGATGTGGTCGCAGTGTTCCGTCTTAGTCGAGACGGACATCAGCAAGTGCGGAATTGTGGAGGATGCTGAGAGCTCAACAGGATTGTCCTTGCGACATGTCGCGAGAAGAAACACTCTGGCTGCACCGCCAACAACTTACAGGTTTACTTAATATCTTTTTTTTCTTACAGATGATTTTGTGTCTAAGAAATCCATAAATCGCATTTGCGATATCCATGTAATTTACGTTGCTCACGTTTTAGCTTAAAAATGAACTATTGTCAATCGGTTAATTTTGGGGATATATAATAATCGGAGATTGTTGTTGATTTCCAATTTCAAAGCATTATATGTTTCTTCTTATTATTAGGATAGGTTGATAACATCAGCAAGTGCGGAATTGTGGAGGATGCTGAGAGCTCAACAGGATTGTCCTTGCGACATGTCGCGAGAAGAAACACTCTGGCTGCACCGCCAACAACTTACAGGTTTACTTAATATCTTTTTTTTCTTACAGATGATTTTATGTCTAAGAAATCCATAAATCGCATTTGCGATATCCATGTAATTTACGTTGCTCACGCGTTTTAGCTTAAAAATGAACTATCGTCAATCGATTAATTTCGGAGATATATAATAATCTGAGATTGTTGTTGATTTCCAATTTCAAAGCATTATATGTTTCTTCTTATTATTAGGATAGGTTGATAGATGTATCATTATCATATTGTCGTCCTTCTAGACCTATTATTCACCGGGAGGCTCTGGCTAGCAGTCGTAGAAAGAGCTCCGCTCCGTTGCGGCCAGTAATGGACCGTAGCAGTGGTGCCCGAAGAGAATCCGGTGCCCAGACGGACATCTCCGCGCTTCCGGCACAATGGCGATCCGAAAGCTATCTGGCTCACAAGGTTGCGCATACCTTTACGACGCTGCCGAGCAAGTTCGCGCTTCCAACGGGCGTGCCCGGCCGATTGAGGCTGTCGGACAAAACTCGGGAAGCTAGAAGAGTGATGTTGTCAGACATCAGCTTCACTAGCATGGTACCCGAGTTATCAAGGAGCGCTGATCATTTGTGCCATGATTCACACGCGCAGGTAAAGTTAACATGTAACAATTAACGTGTATAAAAAAAGAGATAAACAAATTGTTATGATATCGCAGGGGTATGCGTGTTTTCCTTTTACACCTTTGCATATCTGCTAAATATTCAACACGTTGCTCAACATATTAAAATTTCTCCAAGGAAAATCTTATTTTCTAAAGAATATGTGATTGAAAAAAAAGGATACGATAATGTTTCTTCTTTAGTGTTTCAACTCGCGCAACTACGGTTTTCGTACACCAGAAATCCATAGACGCGAGTCCCTGGGTTCTCCCGCGGGATACTGGCCGCGTTGTAATCCCGCAACAAGTCTGCCAAGTCCCTGCGATTGTAGACTATCAACTGACCTGTATCCTTCGCGATATCGCGGCTCTCTGACGTCGATACCGTCGCCCGGTCTCGAGGTTGTCGGTGGTCCGCCGCGAAGACACTCTTGGAGAGCAACGGCAGCGTCCTTTGACACATGGAGGGTTCCGGTCGCGACATCCACGCCACGTCCGACCTGGTCTTCGATGCCGTCCTCTCCGACACATGTGCATCCTCCGTCGATCTCCTCCAGAATTTCAAAAAGTGCACCAAAGAGAACACGATCAAAGGTGACCTTTCAAGGTATGATATGTATATTCTCTGTCTTTACTGCATTTCTCTCTCGCGCGTTTTCACAATGCAATTATTCCAGAAAGAAAGAGGAATGTGTATATATATCTGTGTATACAAATATTCGAGAGAGTTCATCTATTCGGAAAGTAAATTCAAAGTGAAGGAAGATAGTCGCAATTTTCAGAGTGTCCAATGACACGCGGTAGTCTACCCAATTTGCGTTCAGACTTGGTCGGCGGTGAAAATAGCGGGGATTCCACCGAGTCGTTGATTGATGAAGCCGAAGATTATTTGCGGCGAAGTATCGATTCTATGCTGACGATATCGAGCGTCAGCACGGATTATTGGAGTAAGCAAACAGCGAGGCGAAGAAGGACGCGAAGACATTCGGAGCCTGACTTAATTCGCGATTGGCATCCTCCCCAAGATGCCAGGCCATATTTGCCAAAGGTAACGTCATGTTTATCTTATATTCATGAACGAAGATTTTTGCGCTTAAATCACATTTTTAATAATAGATTTTCTTTTAGATTATAATTGTCAAAATTACGTAAAATTTTCCAGATACCAAGAGATCTCAAATTAGATCACCTTGTGAAGGTCATATCGCCGGAGGGCAGGGTCCTCCAAGGGCGTGTGAGATACGTAGGTCCAGTTCCAGGCCGAGAAGATGCGCACGTGGGCGTGGAACTGCCATATGTTAACGGTTCATCCGATGGTACTTTTCACGGCAGAAGATTTTTTGATTGGTAAGCTTGTGAGGAACTAAATATAAAATATTTTGCGGACGCGTAATATTTATAAAAATTAAGCATATATATTTTGCTTTCTTTTATTTAAAACCGTTAAACCACAAAAAAGTAATAAAATGGGATATCTTTCCTCTCTCCGCTTTTTCTCTCTCTCTCTCTCTCTCTCTCTCTCCCTCCTTCCCTTTACATCCCTCTTCAAAATCTGATAGCTCCAATTGTCTCAGCTTTAATCAAGAATAATTCTGTCATTAACAGCGAACCGGATCGTGCGATCTTCGTTCCGTTCAAGAAGGTAGTGCTTGCCTGGTGCACCACTTGACCCGAAGCACCAACACCCATGGTCACGCCTCGTATTCTACTCTCCCAGTACACCATGTAAGAAGAAAATGAAGAAGGGAGAGAGAGAGAGAATTCGGCGACACGTAAGTCGTATTTACAAATTATTATATTTGAAAGCTGGCCAGTCCTCTGGTTAGGTTTAGATAAAGGATAATGCGACTATCCATAATCTTTGTCGATTAATTCTCTCATCCCCATACGGAATTGTATAGCTGTTTAACTACGTGTGTATTAAAATTAACAAAATTAAAAAAATAACTTTGGATGCCATAATAATATAATAACGAATGCTGTACCATATGTCGTGTAATGCTATAAACATGTATGTATGTAACATACGCACGAACTATATGTATATACGTACATACATTCACTCATCCAATGACATATTATAGTCTATTCTGTTTGAGACGCATTTGACAGATCGATAATCACTACTAGAAATAGTAGTGACGAATTCCACGATATATCGACATCGACGTCTCTTACTGTGTACCTAATTTTTTACAAAATATTTTTTTTATAAATAGGGAGCAAAGTTGACAAAGTCTCATGGCTTGTCTTCCTAATATAGTGCAGTTAGAGTAAATCGAAATTTGTTAAAAGAGCGTCAAAATGTAGTCCATTATCAAATTGCATATTAACGCATTCAACTGGCAAAATATAATCGAAATTATAGGAGTCTGAGAACAGATATAAAAAGCCAACCCATAAAATTTCGCAAACTTTCATCGTCCTATTCACATTAACGCGGTTATATGTACAAGATATATGTACAAATCGCAAAATGATTTTCATAATGTTCAACGTGCGATACCATATACCAAAAAAACAAAAAAAAAACATAACAAACCTATAAAATAACTTTGAAGAACTTAAATGTAGTATTGTGTTACGCTCTAAAGATAAGAACAAACGTATTTGGTTGAACAATGAATTTGGGAATGAGGGAATTAAATTACAATTTTACATGTAACTGGAGGATAAAAGCAGTAGAATCAACTGCTAATTATAATTTTTGGCAGGAATAATCAAAATGATCATAATTATTAATTAATTAATATTTTCTATCAATAATAATTCGAGAGGCTATGTGCAGCGAACGCTGGTCTTTTATTTCGGATGGCGTAGCATTGTGATCGTATTTCAATATTGATAAAATGACGTTTGCTTGCGATTTTATAATATAAAGCTCTTAAGAGAAAGATTGTGTTCCTCGTCCAAAGGAAAAAATGACAGATTTATTTTGGCTACTATGATCAATTATTTATTATTATTAATACACACGAGAAAACTTTCACATTATACAGAGCACTCAATATAGAAGAAAATTGTCTTCTTGGATACTCTGTACTCAACGATCGGTTCCTTCGTTGCATAATATCACCAACATTCTATTTCTCTAGCGTAATTAAATGTCGATTTAAATTCTTTTATTTTTTAAAAGAAGTTTGCATGTTCTTTCATACCTCAACCTAATTCGATTATTTGGCACAAAATCTTTTCATCAGTTTTCTTAGTCATAAGTAAAAAGTGTTGGGTAAAGTCCATAGTAGAGCATTTATCTGGTGATTGGTAATTTCGAGCAGTTTCGAGTTCGATTTTAATCCAAATATCTCATATGCCTTTGATTTCGCAGATTTGGCGAGATTATTCTGAAGATTTAATCTCGCTATTATGAGTTAAAATTTTATTTGACATGTCCCATTAAGGGAAGTTCATTGAGTAAAAGAATTAATATTATAGAACTATATACATATAGAAAAATCAACTGGAACGATAATTCAAAAAGAAAAAAGATTATATATATGTAGATATATATATAATAATTTAATCAAAGATCCAATCGAACTTTTGTCTACTAATTACCAGGTGGCTATTCTAACATCGATCTATCCATCACTCCGTGCAATTTAATTAATATAAAATAAGATTACAATATACATTTTTTTCGATGTGCGTATTCTTGACTGGAACTAAAGAAAATAGAAATAAAAATGAATCCATAAAGAGAGATATGCAATAGTAATAAATATTATTAAATTTGTTATGAACCCAATAATATCTTCGCGCGTTGCTTACGAGCTTTCAATGAGCAAATGCTTTAGTGTATGCCAGACATTAAGAGTGTTTTTCTACGTGAAATTAGACCCATTTGAAGACATACACCGTATCGAGTCTCGATATTTATGATTCAGAATTTTATCTGACGATTTGACGTTTCTAAATGTTTGATACGTCTAACTTGATGTGGCAAAGCAACTCTGACGTCCTAAGTGATGTACGCGTATATATATGTATTTTACGTATATATACATCAATTTCTGTACATTTTGGAAACACGCGTATATAAAGTGTGGGCACTACACTTGGCTGTACAAAGATAAAAATAATCATATCCTGAGGCTGTACCTCTCGTCTTAATCGATGGATCTGATTTATTCGAACCGCAATGAGAATCGATCGATGCGTTTTTCTGAATTTTTAGATCCATGGATACCTAGCTGAATATAATATATTAACGTAAAAACGATGAGATGTCAAACCCTCTCACTATTTATTGTATCGTAACAAGTACGAAAAAAATAAAGAAAATTGGCTTAAAATGTAAGATATACATTATCTTTCTTGAATATAGCTCATGAATCATTCGATGTTTAAAATATCCTTTCCTGCTTTAGGAAAACTTCCTATCATTGATTCGTATCATAATTCTTAGATTGTAAATCTCTTGAATCTTTAGATATTCGAATTTATTTAGATTAGAATTCGGAGAACTTGGTCTTTTGTACCGCCATAAATCTTCTATCTTTTTCACCTTTTACACTTCCAATAATTACTTTCATTCGTGCAATCTTTGTACAATTATACAATTATTATGCTTTTAATTATAATTCAAAATTCGCGACATTCTCTCTTTTATTTCGCCTCGATGAAGTGAAGAAATTATAAATGATGAGCCGGATAGTCGGCATACCAGCTATAGGCTCCGTTGGAGCCAGTCTGCCCCCCGAAATCGACGTAGTCCAGGACATGCGTGGCCGATCGCTCGGAACGCTGTTCTCTCGAGTCGTCCTGATGAACGACGCTGGGTATAGCGACCGGTACGTATGCCTCCGTTTGTCGAGCCACCCTCGACAACGAGGATGTGATTGGGTTCACTTCGATGACGTCGATACCTTCGATACCGTCGACGGGAATTGCGATGTAACGTCGACCTCCTAGTACGCCGTAAATGGCGCACAGCAACGTCAATACGATACCCTACGATACGAAAAACAGATGATTATATTTAAGATTCTTTACTGACGCGTCATATTGAATTACTTATCGTCGGAAGAGAGAAAATATGTAATTTTTTTTCTTTTTCTTGCGAAGTAAATTAATTTTTTCATATTATATTTCTTTTCGCTATCACTCATTTTTGATAATATAAATTGATAGATATACTATATATATTGAGAGAGAGAAGAATCTATTTTACTAAAATTAAATATCGTATATGGAACAGAAAATAATTCTTATTTCAATGCTTATTAGATTTTTTTATTGTTGGATATTTTAATGTGTTATAAAAAAATAATTAAGACCAATTTCTCGGATTGCAAAGATTAGAAATCTATTTTTACTATTGGTTTATTTTATTCCACTTATTTTTTTGAATATTTTCTATCAACTTTAGCGTTCAAAGCGCTTTTTGTAGAATCACGAAAGATTTTCATTGCTTTTGTCGCAAATTGATAAATATTTTTTCTGAATATTTATACTACTTTTCCTCTTATTAAGAAATTAATATTTTATTATGTTCAAAATTGACTTGATTTGATATAAAAAAAAAAAAAAAAAAATGAAATGAATGATTAAATTAAACTATAAATGTATTATTTACCAAATTATTCATCGTTCTCTCGTGATGAACTGAAAGCAAGCTTAACAGTTCGGTTCGTCCAACTAAAGTGAGGGGCTTCGTTGTTGCCGTTTTATATGTTTCTCTTGGCCACAGCTTTCTAGTCTCTCTGAGAGTAACCGACAATTACTTCTGGCTATTTCTTGCACCATCCCGTCGCGAGTCAATTGTCGCGAAGCTGTCGACCGCGAGCCGCTGAAATGTCCTCTCGGAGAAAAAGAATCATTATATCCTTCTTCCTAGATTCACGCCTCGATACTTTTGATCTTCAATCAAACTTTCGATCATTCTTTCTTTTCGCTCGCGTATTTTTCTTCTCGATTCAATTCGGCTTGCCTGCCGATTCAGTGATTTGTCGACGAATTTTTCAAAAGCTATTTATTTTTCTGTTCATACTATTGACAAAAAATAATCTCTTTCATTGTTACACTTATGCTTATAACTATTTAATCGCTTATATAGTTTGAGAGATTCACAACTATAGTATAAAAATATAATACAGAATGTATTCTTTTCTTTTACATTTTTTGCATTACTGTCAGTGATTAAGAAACATATAACACAAAGAGAGTTATTATATAATATTTTTAAGATATATAATTAAATCTATACTATAGGAAGGCACTAATTATATTTAGTAAGAAAAATTTTATTTTATTAAAAAAAAACAATATCTCTTATCCTAAGAAAGCAATCGCTAAAAATTATTCTGTTGTGTTGCAATTTAATTATTGAAGCATATTTCGCTTTTGTATTTTGTAGATTTTTATATATTAACATTAATAAAAACATATAAAAATTAAATACAAAACAAAATGCTATAGAAGTCATAATTATGCCTTAATTAGAAAATAATTTTAAAAATAAATATTACGAATTCTTAAAAAATAAATCAATATTGTTGTTGTTTCATGGCACAAGTGTGAGTTGTGTAATTCCAACACAAACGGATTAAAAATAATAATATCTTACATAAAGACCATAATAACATGAAAAAAGTACATATATCTTAAAAAATGCTTTTCATTTCCTGCATCACAATGTAAGATAGAAAGATTATGAAAATGATAAGATTGAAAATAACTTAAAAACAACAAGATCTGAATACTAGGAAATTAATAAAAACTACAATCCCCAAGAAAAGGATAGATGTCTCATTTCATCAATCAATTAACTATTCGCAAATCATTATCATTACTCGCGAACCAATTATTATATTAATCTATCTGGATATATGTAATTCTATAATAAATTTTTATAACCATATATTGTAACGTTTCAGGTTTTATTATATATATATAATAAACGAAAGACACGTTTGTTTGGTCTTTTATCGGCATTACTATCGCATTTAACGCTAAGTATCTCGTTCTGAAATTTAAATGCCTAATATATAGATTGGACTTTTAACATAAGAAAATTATAGGAAAGTGGAATCTCTAATAAGAATCTATATAATTAATGCGGTAAAACTAGTTGTTTTAGAAAAATTGATGAGTCAATCGTTTCTGCAGGTTGAGGTAGTAAAATCGGCTTTACCGCGACAATCATTCGAAACTTGTTCAACCAATGGAGAAGATAAAACGGGAAGATCATGCTTATTTTGTGATAATGTGGAACTCGCGGTTGAACAGACCTCTTCCTCGAATTGAGCCAATTCCAAACGTATCAAAGTTTCCTTAATATTAATATCCTGTGAAGGAAACAATAAAAAAAAACATCTATAAAGCGGAATTTTTAAAAGAACATGCATAATTATGGCAAGATTTTCTTTCACAGACTTTTTAACTTGCTTCAAAACAATTTTCCAATCAGATAGTATTATGGAATATCACAAATCTCATAAATTTAAGATAAAATTACACGAAATGTTTTGTTGTTTTTTTTTCAGGAATGTACATGTGTGTGTAAAAATACATAAATAGTTATTATACATTGATATAATTATTATTTTTAATTTGACGGGAACACAACGTGAATAATGATATAACTATTTTTTCTCTCTTTTTTTTTCTCGCCTGTACTTATCTACGCTTTGCATTTACCAGCAGTTTGTGGTAAAAACGCGGTACAATTTGGCAAGTCTTTAGCATTTGCAGCATAACGCAATTATTCGCGTGAAATGTACACTCCGATATTAAACACAGTTAACAATTTATTACAAAATGTTCCACAAAAAAAAAGAATATATTTTAAAGAAAAAAAGAGAATGGAAATTCCTTCCTCAGAACGGATTGAAACGTATGATCATTATAGAAGTATTCATATATATCGATATAAATATTTATGTATCAACAACCGCAGTTTGGCTCTTTTATTAGTCCTTTTCCTATTATTGAATCTTAAGCTTCTGTTAACCACCTATGCTGTATATGGATTATGATGTCAGAGAAATCATGCGAATGTTTTTCTCTATATGTCGGATTCTTATTTTGAAATTTAATTTACAGACAATATTAATTAACAATATTTAAACGTTACAGCCATTATCGTTTTTGCTCCCCCCATTTTTCCCAAGGTAAGTATCATAATTTTAAAGCTATCAGTTATAAATTTAGAATATTGTATAAAATTTCAACGATTTTACATATTTGTATATGCGATGTTTTGTAGAAATATAAATAGACTTATAGAAACTAGAAAATATTTAAAAGAGCGAAACTATCGGCTTGAGAAAAATTTAACAAATTTAGAATGTCGGAAGAAATCCATTTATTCCTTACCTTATCGCCATCCTTGTCGTAAAGATCGATGCAAGGAATCGGTGAACCTTCACGGCGAGATTTTCCGTAACCGATCGGACGTTTTTTATAGCCTTTAACTTTAGCGATGAGGGGTTTCCACTGCGCCACTTGAACAAGTTCGGCGAACTTGTCGCAAGCTTCGCGGCTCCATTCGCTTTCTCTAAGAATAATAGTCAGTTATCAACATTGAAGTCAATCAATAACCGTGAATCATTAATCGGTCGGCCTACCGTGGCTTCGTATTCGCTAGTGAACACTCCACGGCCTGCAATCGTAAACTCAACATATCCGTACATAACTCCAACACGTCGTCTGTGGAAATGATATCAATATCTCCGTAATCGACGTAATAGACCTCGCATTGAGAGTCTCCTACAATGGTTATTATTTCCGCGCGATACCATTTGTTGTCATAACTGAATTTGGCTGCTACCATCTGACCTGGAGTTATCTAAAATTAGCAAACATTTATAGAGAAATAATACTAATTGTACTAATATGATAATTAATGTGATATTATTCTATATATATTACTTTGAACATCTTGTTATCTAGTGCATTTCAAAAACGGTTATTCAAAATGTTATGGTAACATTCTAAAGTTTCTATTCTTTTATGTTTTTACCTTTTTCAAAGCATGAAATTCGCGATTTTCCTCTTTATTATAATACTCTGTCATTTCGAATATTAAGTTATCTAAAGCTGTGTTTCCAGGGCCAATCACATGAATCCAGAATATATTTGGTGTTTCCATCGCAGATACATATACTTCCATTACATCTTCTGTTAACAACAAAAGTTAGTTACACGAAAATCAAACAAATTAATAAAACATCAGTAAAATGATATAATTCCACTTCATTTTCTCTTTGAGTAATAGCTAATGCTATTTGCTTGAATTGAAAAATCGATTAATATTTTGCAGAAATAAAGTTATTTTGTGTTTTATATACCTTGTGGTAAAGAAATCTGCGAAGTCTCTGAAGTATTGTCAGACATGTTAACATCGTTGTTAAGAGATGGTTCGAATGTTGGTGTTCTTTTCACAGTGATTGTGAAGTCATCATTTAAGTCAATTTGAGTTTCGTTTTCCTCTTGAATTTTATCTTTTATCTGAGTAACGGCTAGAGCTATTTGCTCAGCAGTTCCTCTTAACAATACGCACCTTTCATCGTCTATGAAAACGAAATTAATACATAATTATTACAATAATTCCTATTATATACTCTCGCCGAGTCTTGATATAAAATTAATAATCATAACAGAAATTTTTATTAAAGAATTTAAAATTTCTAGTATAATTTTTAACACAAGAGGTAATTCTAATAAAATTGGATACCAAAATATAATTAACAATGAAGCAAAAATAAATTATCGAAATAAGAAAATAGAAGAGGAAAAATTAAAATAATACATACTTTGACATATATTAGTAAGATCTTTCTCAATTACAATTTCTGCACCAGAGAATCTTTGTATTTGCTGTATAGTATTTCCATTTCTTCCTATGATTCTTCCACAAACTTGATATGGTACAGAAAATTCATAAGTCTCGATAGTAGGCTGATTGTCCATTATATCTTTAACACTGTTTTTACTAGGGGATATTCTAGGCGTTCTTGCAGTTGCTGTTTCACACTTCAGCTGAGCTTGAGCTTCGCTTTCTTCTCGGACTTTATCTTCTATTTGAGTAACTGCTAATGCTATTTGCTCAGCAGTTCCTTTTATTATTATTCTCCTTTTCCATCCAGCTATAAAGAAAAAATTAATATGATTATTATAATAATTCTAATTAACAATTATTCAATATAATTATCATATCTATAATATATACATATAATTATCATATATATGCAATATTAATGAATATATATGTATATTTAGAAAATAAATTTCAATAAATTTTATAGAAACACGAACTCCTCTATTAAATGGAAATAAGATATTGTAAATTTGATAAGAATTTACAAAACGAAACTGTGAATAACGAAATTGTGATAAGAGCATACACAATTGGAAAATCATTTTTAAGACAAAAATAATTTTCTGAGGCTTTTAACATTCTTAAAAAATTCTAAATTTATAATAAAATTACTAACAAAGTAATAAACTGGAAAAATTAAATGTATAGAGTATAATTAATAAAAAAGCAAACATAACTAAATAAGTTATAAAAAAAATATTAAAATAGCACTAGTAGTAAATAAGCACCTTCAGATTTATAAATACCACTATTCTCCATTATGAGTTTTGCACCAGAAGATCTTTGTATTTGCTGCACAGTATCCCCATTTCTTTTTAGAACTCCAAAGTTTCCGCAAGCTTCATACGGCACAAACAATTCATAGGTCTCAATGATAGGCTGATTGTCTATTATGTTTTTGATCATTGATTCTGCTAAACGAATGCCTTCCATTTCATTACCCTGTATGATGCAGACACGATCCGGAGACTCTATATCATTTTTACTCATTGTAATGTGTGTGCCAGTTGTATCTTGTATCTTTTGAATCACTGAACCACCTCTACCAATTATAGCAGATGCAAATTGCTTAGGCACTTTATATTGTACTGTAGTGCATCTGGATGTTATTATCTTATGAGATCTCTTTGTATTATTTTTATCATCTCTTGTGTCATCATCCTGTAGTACAATAGTAATAGATAAATTTATATTTAGGGAGAACAGATAAATTTTATTAAATCTTACATAGGAAGAGAAAGAAAGAGATTTGTAATTATGAAGAAATAAATATGATATAAAAAAATTGTATGCCAAAAGTATAAACTTTACCTTTTCAAATACAGGATAGAACAATATTGCCAAGGATATACAACTAAGAGTTGTCAAGGATATGCCAATTAAAATGGGTACTACAAACTTTCTATCCAAATTTGATATCCACCTCATCTTGCAATGAAAAGATTATGCAATCAAAACAGGATGATAAATTTTGTTGTGATCTGTGACAAACATAAACATATATTTAAAAAAATATTTATATATGGTTTATAATTATATAATTTATATTTTTAATATATATATATATATATTTCAAATATGTTGACGATTAATTAAAGTATTATAATTATTCATCCATATGCACTTATTTATTAGACCAGTGTAAGATTTTTCAAACTTAAAAAACACAATTTTTTTTCTTTTTACAGATGACAACTTCTACAGATAATTACTCTTTTCTCACACGTACCCAACGATTTTAATTATTTTTGGTTAGTTATTTCTACTCAAAATGTCCGCGATAATAGCAAGTTTCCAAATTTTTATGAGAGAAAAGAAGTTTATATATTGCATATTTACCGTAATTAGTATCTAAAATTTGTCTTGTAGAAGTACGTTGAGATATGCGAAAAAAACACAAATTTTATATGTTCAATAACAGCGGTTCGTAACATCTAAAAATAGTGTTTTATGTAAAGTCTAAAGTGTTTACATTTTGCTGATCGCTTCTCCGTTTCTCGTCTAATAGTCTAATATACGTAATACGTATTAATATTACGAAAGGCACGTGAAACTGTGAGGGTGCCATTACATGAAGCGCGGAAACGCGGATTAGCGTAACGCGGAACGAGAAGGGAACCAATCGCGAGCGTAACAAAAACTGCAGAATGCTCGCGATTGGTTTCACTCTCGTTCCGCGTTACGCTAATCCGCGTTTCCGCACTTCATGTAATGGCACCCTAATATCTTCGATATTTTAGTATATAGATATGGATGAGATTGATCGGATTCATACGACAAAAAGTTATTGGACGCATCGATTGGCTATCGAATAGAGAATTTTTCAAGCTTCTATCGAGAATTCTAGTAATTTCCTATTCGCTAACCAATCGATACGTTTGACAAACTTTTGGATATATAAATAAATAGCGCTAAGTATCTCGCGCGATATTTGATATTTTAATGAACGTACGAAACGTTTTATTTTTATCATCTTTTTTTAAATTCCATTTGCACTTGACATTGACATTATTTTTATATGCAGATAGGGTTTCATATGCTATTTACGATTAATTCAACGCATATACTGTAAGTAAATATATATTTAATGCATATATATAACACAAAATATCTTATCTCGTTACCTTCGCAAACCGGTTTATGCTGATTCATTCGATTTTTTTTATCGCACAAGATAATAAGAACTCGGCAAAGTTATTGAACTAAGTATTAGTAATACATTGGTGGTGAAAGCATACACATATACTAGAGATAGCTGTTCGCCAAATTTAATACAGCTGTTGAAATCGGTACAACTTTGGTGAGCTCAATTTTGCAATACTAAAGATACTCGAAAAAAAAAACCTTATATCGATTGTCGCGCTACTTTCATTGTCGAAAAATTATTTTCATATATTCTTGTAACATCTCTGTATATGTATGACCTTAATTTTGAATTTATATTTAAATAATTTTTGTAATAATCTCAAAACAGCGATGAGTTTATCGGGTCTACCGCATGTTTTGGTTACTAGTAGTGCAACGCCGACACCCGGTATCGATTTGCTTCGAACAAAGTAAGTTTGAATAAATTTATAGAATATTTATTATATATATTATATATATAAATTATAAATCTATAATGTGTGTGACATATATATCATTTATCGTTATTTTTGTTGATATAGATGCAACGTCACTATTATGCCAAATGTCGTAAACACTCGAGAACAAATGTTAGAGGCTCTACCTGCGGGATACGATGCTATTTTTCTTGTCGACAAAAATAAATTCGACAGTGAATTCCTTGATGTTGCCGGTAAAACCAGTTTTATTTTTTTCGCGCAATCACAGTTCTTATGTGCAGTCGGTTTTGAATATATATTCTTTTAAATTTTCACAAAGCAAAAATTAACTTCAAATTTAATTAACAAAGTAAAGTTTAATGGAAATTTTCAGAAACATCCCGGATATAAACAAATATGAGCTGATCATCGTTGAAAGAAAAGCAAATCAAATTAATTAATTCGAGATTTTATCGAGCTAGAAATTAATGGATTTGATTCTCCAACATTTTTCAGGCCCAAACTTAAAAGTCGTATCGACAATGTCAGCCGGTTACGATCACATGGATGTCCCGGAAATTAAAAGGAGAGGAATCAAGGTCGGCTACACGCCAATGGTGCTATCGGCTGCAGTTGCGGAGATAGCTGTGCTTTTAATGTTATCTGCAGCGAGACGCGCCCATGAGGGTCGCACGATCCTGGAACAGTGATTAATATTTTTTCATTTTATATTATAATTTATAATTGACATCGAAATCTCTCTACATGAAAAATTCGATAGAAAGTTTGATTTATTGTTTAATTTAAACTTTAAAATTGTATTTTCAAACATTTTCTGTAAAATTAAAAATTATATAGCGCACTAATGGATGTGTATGATAATCTAATCAAGAGGTCAAGTAGAAAGCGGACCACAATGGTTGCTGGGACACGATTTACAAGGCTCGACTGTCGGCATCTTTGGTTTGGGAAATATTGGTCAAGCGATCGTTAAACGATTAATGACATTCGAAGTAGGACGCTTTATCTATACCGGACATTCGCGCAAGAAAGCAGGTACACATATATATACACACACGCACTTCAAAAGCCGATTATAATCGATTAGATGTCCCACATATCTATATTTTCTATCCGGTATCTACAAGAACTTCAATTATAACATATTTTATATTTTTCAATAATTCTATTTTATATGTATCTTAAAAGATTTATATAAAGATACATTCAAGAATTTACGCTAATCATGTACGTAAATTAAATAGATTTTCAATAATAAATCGTCGAATAATTGTATAAATCTCCAATAGTTATTATTGTTTAATGAAAATCTCTTCGCCGTTTATTCGAGAATATAAATTTATAAAAATGTTATTTAGAGGAACCTTTAAACCTTTTACCATCTTATAAATAATAACTTTAAAATAATAATTTTAAAATAAATAATAACATAATTCGCAGGTGATGAACTTGGGGCAACATTTGTATCTTTCGACGATCTTTTGGAGCAGAGCGACTTCCTCGTGATCGCGGCTCCCCTTAATAACGAAACCAGAGGACTTTTCAACGATAGTGCTTTCGATAAAATGAAAAAAACAGCTATCTTCGTAAACATAGCTCGCGGCCAAATTGTCAATACCGATTCGCTTGTAAAAGCCCTTCGTGATAAGAAGATATTCGCTGCCGGATTGGATGTTACTGATCCGGAACCGCTACCACCGGATCATGAACTTTTGAAGCTACCTAATGCCGGTAATTATTTTATTCTATCTCTTTCGCTGGTTCTTTGTTTTTTTAATTGATCGATTACTATGAGATAGTTAAAATATAACGGGTTAAACTATTAAAGAGGGATAAAATGCTAAAATATCACACATTTGAAAAATCAGGAAACGTTTCAGATAAATTTTTAAAGATTCTATAATTTCGTAGTCGATGTAATATGATATAAAATTATATAATTCTTATACTATCTATTATAATTTACACATATATAGTATATCATATATTAACAGTTTTTGTTTAATTCCAGAAATTATTCCACATTTGGGCAGCGCAACAATCAAGACCCGCAACGACATGTCGACAGTTGCAGCACAGAACATTATTAATGGTCTGGAGGGCAAGCCTTTAGTTTATTCCTTATAATAAATCATTTCCTTGTATAATTTTGCCTACATATATAATTTAGCTCTTGTCTGACAGATACTGAGTCGGACTTTTTCCATAACAAAATAAATACAGGCAAAGGTGTAATGTATATCTAAAACATTTCTAATGCTTATGTAACGAACAAAAGAAATACTTTATGTGAAATAGAACAAATATAATTTTATACTTTGCCTATATTTTTTCTTTCATCAAAAATATAATATATATATACCTATATTCAACAAATAAAAGCGAGATAATTGGTCCAAATAGATCCGATATCCACATGATGGTTAATCAATCCTAAAGATTAATAATAATCTCCATGATTCTTCTTATGTTTAAATTGCACAAATGTAATCAATCTTAATCTCAATCTGATTATAATCATTAACTACACTAATTAGGTTAAGTAAATATTTTTATTGATATACAATGCATTATCCAAATATTCTTAGACATCTCTTATTAAATTCAATTATTTAGTTCATTATTACATTGGAATGATTCTATAAAAGATGCTGTGTAGGATTTTCTCGAAAATTGTATATACTATTACTGCTATATATTTAAATGTTTCTTGAAGTTTTATATACTTTCTCAAACTTATTATTTTCTTCAAATCTTTCAATTTTCAGAAAAATCTTTCTAACAATGTTTTATTTGATTATTTCTTATTAAGTTATTTAATGCCATGAATTGTCAAGATGTGGTAACATAATTTTATTAAAAAAAAAAATGTGTGTAGTATTTTCTTTGAATAAATTAACATTTTAACTTTAAAAGTATCTCTAAAGTCCTCAAAAAGAACTTTTCTGTAGTATAGTGTTTTACTTTAAAATATTATATATATATATA